CAAGGGATTGACAAATGACCAACATAAAGACTTATAAACACCCTGTAAGCAAATCAGAATTGTTGTGTGCACTCCCCACCCAACAAATCAGAATGAATGCTCAATAAAGACCAGACATAATCTAACAGGCTGTCTAGGGAGCCTGGCAAATGCATACATGTTTACTCAGATATGCACAAGATACCCATTTTAGAACATAGCTTCAATCCTATACAATACAGTATACACTTTCCGAGGAGTTTGCCCCATTGACCACCAAGACTTATTTCTTAATGAAATTGTACATCTCCAAACACTCATTACTTAAGTGACGCATGAGAGGTGGGTACACCCACATTTGACCAAAAACCCCAGAGGGTTGGGCTACAGGTCAATGTTGGCTTTGGGGTGAAAAGTGTCAGCCACCCCTGAGAGGTACCACCTCCAACCCACAGGAACCAGCTCCAGATGCACCATGCAAGGGTGCTGCAGAAGAGAACCCAGAATGTTTTCTCAGCTAGCAAATTACACATCCAAGGAAAAGTGGAACTTGGTTCTCGGTCTCTGTGTGGCATTATAAATTACTGGAGACACACCAAGGAGCAGCTCTTAAGAATAATCAGCAGGGATTGTATACCTAGAGGCATTCAGACGGGGTTCAGCAAGCCAGGAGTTACCAGGCTTCTAGATAACAATGGGAACAGCATGTTCTTGGGCAATGAAAACTTCCTAGTCAATCTACAGGCCCCACTAAAGAAGCTAAACACTCCTCAGAACAGTCGTATTTCCCTCAGTTGTCTGGACTGTTTCATTCTCAGTCATGTACACTCCTCATTTAGAATTCCTCTTCTTTCTCGGAAGAATATACGTAAATTAATCTTGACTCTGATTTCAGAGGCATTTCTGTAAGGATTGACACCTGGCAAGTCCTGCGCTGAATTTGGGCCCAGATGTGAAGACCTATTGCTAGAAAAACTGCTCATTCAGTGCTAAATTGTAGGGTGGGGAGAGGAAATGGACTGGTTTCAATTCAATAGTTTGCCAGATTCATTTACATCTGATAAAAGTAATTGGGATGGATTACTACCCCACTTCAAATGCTGTGCTGATCCATAATCCTTTTCTACTTTGGATTTGGCACCGGAATTTTTTTTCCGGGGGGGGGGGGACGGGGACTATAGTGGAATACAGTCCAAGTTTAGCACTACAAGTTTTCTCTATGCTAGTTGCTTTCATTAAAAAAATCTGTTTGCAAATAACGCTGAAATAACGAACTATATTCCACTATAGTTCCAGAACTGGCTTTTCTACTGCGTGACAGCTAAAAGGCAACATGGAAATTAACAGTTAGAGGAACGCCATTAAAATGGAAACGCCATTGCCATGTGAATGCAGCCTAAGGAAATCAAACATTGCTGCCTACTTTATTTAAACTAAATCTTAGTAACTTTTAGGTAAACAGATTTTGGCCTAACAAAGCTTAATCCAGCATTTTCACATAAACATGTGAGAAAGTATCTTGAGAATTTTATAAATAAATAGCACATTGTATACAGCTGAGTTGCAGTATATTTCAAAACAAACGAAAGGAAGCACTGTTTTTACACAATGCACAGTTAATTTAGGGCAGGGGTCAGCAACCTTTTTCAGCCGTGGGCCAGTCCACCGTCCCTCAGACCATGTGGGGGGCCGGACTATATTTTGGGGGGGGGGGAAATGAACGAATTCCTATGCCCCACAAATAACCCAGAGATGCATTTTAAATAAAAGCACACATTCTACTCATGTGAAAACACCAGGCAGGCCCCATAAATAACCCAGAGATGCATTTTAAATAAAAGCACACATTCTACTCATGTAAAAACACGCTGATTCCTGGACTGTCCGCGGGCCAGATTGAGAAGGTGATTGGGTCGTATCCGGACCACGGGCCTTAGGTTGCCTACTCCTGACTTAGGGCATTCACTTCCACAGGATCTGCTGAGGGCTGCTGCCTTAGAGCCCTTGAAAGACATCGAGTCATCCAGACTCAACTGAAATAATCATTAACAGTCCCATTAGCCATGACTGAGAAGCAATATATCACTGAATATCAGACAGATGATGGGGTAGATCTGTTGTATTCATGTCCCACATGGAGACTTCCCAGAGGCATCTGGGAAGTCCACTACTTGGAAACAGGCCTTTTCCCCCCTTTATGTTTCTAAGATCACTTAGTGGGATGTTCTGCAGGAATCTTTTGTTCTTTCATGGGAGAATGAATGAAGCCAATGGAAGCTCATTTTCCTCCCAGTTCTCCGGCTTCAAAGCATTTGGTGCACCTGACTGAAAGGGCACTAAGCTGCATAACAGTTTGAGAAAAGATTACTGTACTAGCAGATCCACACCAAACCATGTATTTAAATCGCATCTGACCCCCCCACATTAAAAGCACATGGCTCTCCACCCCACATCCCGGGAACTAGTTTTTAATGGTTCTATAAATTGTACCTCTATGAGTAGGAAAAGTACAGCTCCCAGGATTCTTTGGGAGGGGTCATGTGCTTTAAGTGTATGGTGTGGACCTGTCCTAAGTGAGTAGTGCATGTGTTATTACAAAGCATCATGTGATTCCACTACAGTCTTAGGCCTAGAAAACACGCAAAGCTCCTATGGAGAACCTCTAACCCCCAGGTATTGTAAGTGCTGCAGTAGGTCAGTGTAATAAAGGAGGCAACCAAGACCCCTAAAACGTGAACGGCCACCTAAATTCAATGAAACCATTCCATTTACACTGAAGTAATGCAACACCTTAAACTAATCAGGAGAAATGGCATTAAAAACTAAAACTGCCATCCTTTACCCAAATATCTGGAACAAGGTATTAAGCAAGGTTACTACAACATGTGCCCCGGGTTCACATCCAGGACCAGGATACAACTTAATAATTATATTATTTTTTAATTAAAAAAAAAAGACTTTACACCTGAATTTATTTTACCCCAAATCCTCATCAGGAAGCAATTTACAAAATCTAGAAACCCCAATCATTCTTGGTTTGTAAGTTACTTCAAATTATATCAAGATAACAACTCAGAATGCCCAGATATGGAGGAGATGTTTTTGACCAACAGAAATACAAGATTTCTTTCTTTCCTGGGTACAGTGGGAAAATGTTTATAAATAGGGCTAGCACACTGGAGGAATTGATACACACACACCCCCATCACAATTAACATTATTTTTGCACCTGCTGTTCCTTGCAAAAACAAAACAAAGATAGAACAGGAAAGAAAAGAAAAGCAAACATTAGTACGTATTCCTTTGTATACTGAAGTTTGCAATTAGCAGCCACTTCTCTCATTGGCGCACAAACCTTTTTATGAAGCCATCTCCCTGCAAATTAACCTCTCCCTTCTTCTCTGCTCTCCCTTCCCCACCTTTTATTTTTGGCACTGGGCATTTGTATTTGAAATATATATCTGGGGAAAGCGACTTTTTTTTTTAACAATTCCAACCAACTTTTTTTAAAAAGCATAACCTTCTTTCAGCTAAAACAAAGACACAGCTTAACTTTTTTCATTCCCAGAAAAACTTTTAGCAACAAAAAAGCACATATTTTCCTGCAATCGAGAGTGCAAATCTGGTTGTAGATAGAGCACACATTTACACTGTTGTGGTCATACCTTCTCCCATTCCCCAAATGCTCCAAGTTTTCAAAACCTGGCCCAGTCTGTCAAGACAGCAAGACGCAGTTCCCAAAGAAAAGGCAGTTCCCACAACTTCATTTATATAGCACTTGTTCACACTGGGTGATTAGCACAACCCAAACTGATTACTATGTGCAGGGGGGCCATCACAGACCTCCCTCCACAGATATCAATTTGTGTCTACTCGCCTCACTTTGGCACACAATGTTATTTCAGAGCGGCTCAGCTGGTAGAGCATGAGACTCTTGATCTTAGGGTCGTGGGTTCAAGTCCCAAGTTGGGCAAAAGAGCCCCGCATTGCAGGAGGGTTGGGCAAGGTGCTCCCTTCCGATACTATGCTTCTACAGTGGTCATTACATCAGGGCTTTCCTCCGTGCCTAGTTCCACACATCTGATTCTTCCGCCAGATCATACAGCTGAGGACCACCGGCCCTGCTCACGTGTAATGCAAAACAAGTGTGTGAACCGCCGCTAGGCAAGTTTTGCAGGGAAACCACAAGAAGAAGCTGTTGGAACCAAGACGCTGCACAAGTACCTATGGGCAACGCGGCTGCAGAAAGGATGCACCAATTAAAAGGGTAACGCCGGGGGTTTAAGTGCGTGGGAGGGAAGGTCCTGCGACCCCCCCATCCCCCAATCCCCCCTCCCCCAAACGGCGGGCGGCTGCCCCAACTAGGGAACAGAGAGGGAAAACTTTGTCGAGGACGGCGGGCCGTCCCCAAGCGCCTCCCCAAGCGCGGCTTCCTGAAGAGCGCCGAAGGGGCCGGGCGGGGCGGAGCGGCCGCGCCGGGTCAGCCAGGCTAGGTGCGCTCTCGGGGAGGCGGCGCGACTCGCCTCCGTCCTTCTCCGCTTCCTGAGCGGGGCGGCCCAAAGGGAATCCCCAGTCTGACGCGCAAGGCGTCAATCCCCAGAAGTGGCACCGCGCAGGCACGGGCTCCGGCTTGGCAGGGCTGCCCTCCAACCGCCCGTGGGGCTTTCTCCTGGCAAGGCGACGCTGGGAAGCCGACACTGGAAGGGCGCTAGGACCTGGAGAAAAGCCACGCCGGGCTCAACCCCGACCTCCTCCCCTTCCCCACCCCCCACCCCGCTTCCGAGCCACCAAGGAAGTAGGCAGGCTGGCGCGGTCATGGTCGCCAGCAGCCACTCCGCCAGCGATGCCCCAGCAGGGAGAAAGAGGGACCCAGACCCACCATTGCCCAAAGCAGCCAGGGCGCACGAACGCGCCCGGAGCCTCCATCTGCAGCAGGTGACCGGGCCCCACCTGCGCGCGCGGCGCTTGCGAGGAGCCCCCCCCACCCCCGACCCGGCCGCCTGGCCAGCCCCGCTACTCACATCGTCGAACAAGGATCCCACGTTGGCCGTCACGAGCAAGATCCCGGTGTTGGCGGCAGTCCCTTTCATCGCCATGATCCTGGCCCAAAATAGTTTCTCTGTGCGCGCGCGCGCGTGTATATTTAAATAGACGACGAAGCAGCACCCCACCTTCGAATTGCACGGAAATAATCACGGAGGCCAGCGGGCCGTGCACTCCGAGGGCGGGAGAGGGGAGAGTCCGAGGGAAGTTCGCCCAAGTGCTCGCCTCGGATGGGCTTCTGCAGAGGAGCTTTACGCGCCGGCTGGCGGCGCCCCAGCGGAGGGAGGAGACCCTCGCACTTCTCCCGCCGGGGGCAGCAGGGGCGCCGGCATCCGGGCTGAGCGCCCCGTCTCAGGGGGGCCGGGTGATCCCCCACCCCGCCCGCGCTGGCTGGCTGGCTGCCTCGCTGCTGCTGCAGCCGCCTCGTCGGGCAGAAGGGGAAAGCGGACTTCGCTCTTAAATCGCCCCCTTCGCAGCCATTCGGCTCCGGCTGAGAAAGTTCCTCCTGCCGCTGGCGCTGGCCGTTGCTGCTGCTGCCGGATCCTTGTGCATGGCAAAGCCCTCCAGCAATACAAAGGAAACTCTTCGGCGGAGGGAGGGAAGGAGGAAGGAAGGAAAGCAAGGGGGCAGTGCCCGGCGGCGGCGTCCTCGCTTCCAGGGGGGCAGCAGCCCAGGCAGAGGAACCGCTCGATGCAGCCGGAGAAGCCACCCCTCCTCTTCCTCGTCCTCCTCCTCCTCTTCCCAGCCTTTGCCTGCAATAACAGAAAGAGAAGCAGCAGCCGCGACGACTAGATCTCTGCACTCCTCTGACGTCACGGGCCTGACACGGCTCGTCTTAAAAGGGCAACGCCGCTCCGCTAGAGCGGCTCGACCGAGCAGTCCCCAGCCACAGGCTGCTGCTGCTGCTTCGATGTTTGGGGTGGGGCGGGGGGCGACAATAACGTGCTTCGAGTGCAGGGGGTTGCGAGGGGAGGGAGAGGTTGGCCTGCGGTTGCTTTTGCTGCACTGAAGTGGGGGGGGGGTGTCTGTGTCTCTGTGTGTGTAATCGGCGGGTGGTTTCTTCAGCTTCGCGCCTTCAGAAGAGGCAGCGAATTACGCAACTTGCGCGGCTGTGGAACTGGCGTCTGCAACGCCGGGTCGGATGTGTTTAAAGCAGGAGCACGCCGCACGATTGTTGAACCTTTCCATACGCTCGTGTGCTTTTGAATGCCAGGTGAAACTTATCTGCCAGCCGTTCTACTAACTAGCGCTTCAGCGCATTTTTTCTCTCCGTGTGAATCTACATAATATTAACCTCGGCTTTTGCGTCCTATACTAAAAGTCGAGGGGAAAAACAGTGCTGTTTCGACGTTAGTATAGCACTCAGTTAAAAAAGAGATCTCCAGGATAGGACATCTGGTTTCCTGTTGCCTCTGCATAAACAGATGACATCATTGCAGTGATGTTCTGAATATTCAGGGATTAATTAAGGGTCGTATAATACACTTTCGATATATAGAAGCAGGGGAAACTGCTTGAGGCTGTGTCAAATCACTGGCCATTATAGTCTGACTGGAATCCACTCTTCAGATCTCAGGCACTGGTCTCTCTGCCAGCCCTACCTAAAACTCCTGGGGATTTTACCTGGTACTTCTGCATGTGAAGCAGATGCTCGGCCACTGAGCTACAATTCCTTTTGTTTCATGTACCTATGGAAAAAGAAGGGCTTCCTGACTCCCAAGAAAAGGCATGACATAGAGACGACGTTCTACCTGCCCTGTCCTAAAATATTTGCAGCCCAGTTCTGTGCAACTGCCTTTGATGGACTTAACTAGCCGTAGCAGATTCTGAAGTGCAGGAGCTCATCCTGAGAGAGCCCCCACAGCTGTACACAATATCTCCATATATATGCACACACCCTCACAATAACACAATCCCCTGATATACAAGGATCAGCTGGCAGCCATCGAATAGAGGACCAGCAAAGGATGGTATCACAGTGCTTTTGTGTGCTTGAATTGCTGATCAGCCATGTCCCATGATTACAGTACCAAGCATCACTGACTAGGAGAAAGTTCCACTGAATTCATGGTGATTGCTTTAGTTAGAAATGCAACTGATCTTGCAAACAAGTAGGAACCCCATCAAAGGAAAGGAAAGAACTAATGAACTATTCTGCCCACCACACATACTCAGCTTGATTTTTCCTGTTATAATCTGTTTTACTGTCACAGTAAAACTTAAAAAATTCCTTCCAGTAGCACCTTAAAGACCAACTAAGTTAGTTCTTGGTATGAGCTTTCGTGTGCATGCACACTTCTTCAGATACACACGTGTTGGCAGACCAACACGGCTACCTATCTGTAACAGTAAAACTTGAAAGCCTCATTATCACCTCTGGCAGATGAAGGAATTGCTCCTGCTCTCAGAGTTCCTGTACTCCCATGTTTCTGCTCTGCTACACCACTGATAAGTAAGGCTGCAGTCCTTTACTTATCTCAGAAATAGTCCCATTAAGCTCAATGAAGCTCACTTCTGAGTAGATGTGCAGAGGATCTCACTGCAGGGCCCTAGTCAAAAACAAATCCTGTTGGTTCTTTTTTGGAGCCTAAAGCAGTCAACAAGGCAACTCAAGCACTGCTCATACTTTATGTGTGTTTAGGGATCTATATGAACAATAGGCATAACCTGATCACAGAAAGCACCTATAGGCCCACCTACTTTTGGCACTCCTTTGCAGACATTCATACTGAATACATGGCTATCTTATCCTGTGACTCATCTGGAACCTGACATTTTTATGGACTAGAACATCATGCCTTGTGCACAAATTCAAGGTAAATTTGGCTCTGTTTTGCTGTAACTTTTTGGAATTGGGTACAGAATGAAACTACCTATTAAAAGACTAAAGAAACACATGGGAGTCTTGATCTGCTGACCACAGAGAGACGTTTAAACCCAGTTTATACAGGCTGATAGTTTTCTATCTTCCATTATATATTTGGCAGTTGTGCTCTATTCAGCCGTTGAATCAAGCGCAAGTCTACATTCCATTGACATCAGCACAAGTGCTTGGAAAAACCAGTCAAGAGTAGAACCCAGGGCTCTTAAATAGTTGCCCGGAGAGGTTTAGCTGTCCTTTCACATTTATAGTCCTAGTAGTCAGTATACACATCTAGAGTTCACACTAAATACATTACTTCTGGTAAATAAGCCACCATAGCCACTAGAGGGCTGTTAAAATTTGAGTCCCAGACTTTTTAGACTCGTCTACCCATGTACTAGGGATGCGGGTGGCGCTGTGGGTAAAAGCCTCAGCACCTAGGGCTTGCCGATCGAAAGGTCGGCGGTTCGAATCCCCGCGGCGGGGTGCGTTCCTGTTGCTCGGTCCCAGCGCCTGCCAACCTAGCAGTTCGAAAGCACCCCCGGGTGCAAGTAGATAAATAGGGACCGCTTACTGGTGGGAAGGTAAACGGCGTTTCCGTGTGCTGCGCTGGCTCGCCAGATGCAGCTTTGTCACGCTGGCCACGTGACCCGGAAGTGTCTCCGGACAGCGCTGGCCCCCGGCCTCTTGAGTGAGATGGGCGCACAACCCTAGAGTCTGTCAAGACTGGCCCGTACGGGCAGGGGTACCTTTACCTTTACCTTACCCATGTACTATCTGAAAGCAAAGGGCACATTGGTTGCCAGATGTGAAATATATTGGCATTATTTTCATATCTCCTACCCCACTGTAACAAATGCAAACACCACCTCCTGGCTGGCCTTGGGTGTAGAAGTGGTAGCATTTCAGAGAAAGCTACCTTGGAGGTCCTGTCTTCAGGATCCTAGTACCAACCTAAATTGGGCTTCAAAGAACTCATGGCTACATTTCCTGATGCCACTGGTGCCAACATGCACCACAACCACTGACTTCTCCCTAGCATTACATACCAGGCTATCTAGGCAACAACCTTTCTACCAGGCAGGCAATCTGCCCTGTGGTCTTTATGTTCATCAGACACCCAAGTACATGGGTCCTTCATGATAAAATCACACATTACCAGGATCACTCCCCTGCCCCAGCGGAGTATCCTTGGAAAGAGGGGGTAGCTGTTCATTCCTCAAGGAATCAGTCCCTTGTAAGGGAATGTTTCTTCCTCAGAGTGACATTCTCTTTCCAAGAAACCCTAATTTCTTCCCTGACAGTAGGGGAAATGTCACGGGGGTAGGACACAGCTATAACATCTCTGAAGGCCTCATCCACCACCCTCTCTGCCTCTCTTCGCTTTCTCAGGTCTGGCACCTTGACCTCAAGGGAACAAATGTGTCCTCAGAAAGCCAGGAGCTTCTTGCTCCTTAGACACACCCATGACCTCTGTCCAACAAGGAGAGATGCTCATGCAAAACAGAAGAATATCCCAGTGCCTCTCCTGGCATAACTGTGTTTGCACTTTTAAGGTGTGTTTTTTATTGAGGGTATGGTGGAGGGGGGTTAATGGAAGGAGAGGTGATGTCGAGGCCTGTACCCTAGGCCTCCTCACCCTGCTGCCAAACTCACACATCTGCCTAACTCACCTTGGTCCTGGGGCTGCCCTTAGTGGGTTCCCCTTGTTAGGACTGGCAGCCACTCTCCAAGGTTTCAGGAAGGAGTTTTCCTGAAGATGCCAGCGATTGAAATTGGGATCTTTCGCATGCAAGGCAGATGCTAAACCACTCTGATTAGATAATCCTCACAACATATCAATACTACTCAGTCCATCAAAGAGACGGTGTGTGAGCCCTTAAAGGAAAGGAAAAAAGACCCACATTCTAAAGGAATTCCTTTCATCATCTCCACACATAACTCCGTGTCCTGCAGTATTCCTTGCCTTGTAATCAATAATTTGAGTCATGGGCACGTAGGTCCGGAATTAGTTCGAATTCTTTATATATAAATCCTTTTCATATATTAAAAATTACAGAAAGAGTGGGAGAGACTGAGAGAGAGAGATCTGGTGCAAGGTTCTTGGTGCTGTTGGGTTCCAGAGGCTCTTAGATCTTTTATTCCTTTTCAGAATATTTTCAGAGTCAGAAATATGAAACAAGTCATGGCACTGATTGCTAGCTTCACACATAAGCAAACCATGGGGGTGGGCTGTTGCATATTTTAAAAGCAAAGGGCTGAGTTGTTAATGTTATAACAATGTTGTCGTGCAGTGGATCTTCAATTCAAACAAGGGAAACTTTTGAGAAACAGTAACTCTCTTATATGTGTGGGGTTTTTTTGGGGGGTGGGATTTCCTATGCCATTTGAAGGTCTGATAAAGTAAACACTACTCTACATATTATGCTGTCCCAGCACCATTATATTTGACTTTATTGTCATTTCTCTTTTTGTCAAGTTGATGATTTAATGCTTTTATCAAAATTATTTTTACAGAGGCCATTTCATATTGACTTAACAAGTGCAAGTCTCTCTCTCTCCCCTCAATGTTGTAGCATTTATTTATTTATTTATTTATTTGCTTGCTTGCTTGCTTGCTTGCTTGCCTGCCACCTACCCATCTGACAGAGCTGCCTCAGCCACTCTGGGTGGCTTTCAGCAAATTAAACCACCAAGCACAGTAAAACATCAAACATTAAAAACTTTTCTAGGCAGGACTGCCTTCAGATGTCTTCTAAAAGTCAGATAGTTGTTTATTTCCTTAACATCTGCTGGGAGGCCGTTCCACAGCGAGGGCGCCACTACCGAGAAGGCCCTCTGCCTGGTTCCCTGTAACCTCACTGCTCCTGTGTGATAGTTTATTGTATGTTTCCTCAACCTGGTGCCCTCTAGCTGCCACTGGACTACCACTTAGGGGAGAACCACTGCCAATCTGTGCAGACAATGCTG